TTCAATGAAAATGCATTAGTAGCCAATGTTCAAACAGTGCAGAGCTTGTTCTTACAACAAGTAATGTATATAATACCAAATTAACATATTGTAATAAGGGCTAATACTTGACTTAATCGGATGAGTTTAATACTTGCCATGGATTTGAAGTCCTTATTCAGATAAAAGTCATGAGAATGGGTTGTTTTTTTAAATTCAGAATGGAATTTTGCCTGCATTAGGAGTGCATGAGATAGCCTAGAGAAAATGCTATTGGTATATCCAATGCAAGAAGATTGTTTTGGCCCTTCACAGCGTGACCAGTTTTTCAAGTTTAATATGATTTTGCTAAAACAAAAATGGAAATAGTATACAGGAGCCAACAGCTTAGTCCCTTGTAGATCCTGCTAGGTAGAAAAGGACTTCTCAGACAGTAACAAGGCTGCTCCTTGATGAGACCTTGTGTTGTGGCACTCAGGAGTGCTGCCGCTAATGCCAGAAGGTGTGACCTGGAGTACAAATTCTGATCTGATATGATGCGGAAGGTAATGAAACAGAAGGGTAACAGAATAGTGTAGACTAGAGGGTTACTATCACAGGATCAGAGGACTGAAAGGGCCCTAAAGAGGTCTTCTAATCCAGTTTCTTGCACAAAAGAAAGGACTAAGTATAGATTGAATCTCTCTGATCTGGTACCCTTGGGACTAGCCCGATGCCAAACTAGAGAATTTTCCGAACCACTGGAGGTCATTATTGTTGAGCAGCATTAACAGGCACGTCTACACAGCAGGGCTTAACTTGAAAGAAGCTACACAAATTGAGCTATGTCAATTATGTAGCTTATTTCAAAATTGCTTATTTCGACTTTTGGTGCTGTCTACATAGCACTTATTTCAAGATAGAGTACTCTTCTTCTAAATTCCCTCACTCCTCATAAAATAAGGGTTACAGGAGTCTTCCAGCTTGACAGTATTTTGACATGTTAAAATAACTGCTAGCTGTGTAGACGCAGACTGTTATTTTAAAATAATGCTAGTTATTTTGACATAGCCTTAGAGAAGACATGTAGTGGTAAATTAGAGCTAAATAATGGCACAGAACATTGAGAGCCAGGACTGGTGGCTGTAAACAAACTTTATAGGACCACAGGAAACTTGGCCACACCCATCATAAGTGAACATCTGGCTAATTAAAATCATGCCAGACCATGAATGTTGGTAGTTCAGATTGTGCCAGATGCAAGAGCTTCTGCTTGTATTATCTAGACCATCCCTGAGTCATATTTGTCTAATCTGTTCTTTAAAATTTCCAATGACTGACTGCAAAACCTCCCTCATGGTTTTAATTAGGGTGAACAAACTGGAGCAGAGGAAAAATAAAAATCTGAACATTCCTGCCAAATTAATACCATTTCAGAGTTGGAAAACTTTTGTTATCTATGATAAATATGCACACTTCTGTGTTCACTGTACAGCCAGGACCCAAAGTAACAAAATACTCCAAAGAAGACTTTCCTTATGCTGTTTCTGGACTGGCTGGATCAAAGCTATATAGAAGAGATCCTGATTTTACAGATTGCATAATAATTGCAAGTCCCTTTGGGAGTGAGCTGGATAAGCTTCTGGCAAGCACTCAAACTTTTCAATACTTGGCCAGACACAAGTTTACCCATCACTTAGTTTTAAAATCTGCCTACACACACAATTCCAGTCTTTAACCATTCCTTCTGTCCTGGAGGGAGGAAGTGCCCAAAGCTGAACTCCAGCACTATCCTGAATGGAGTACACAGACTACAAGAGGTTCTTATTATTTTATATTATAATATTTGTATAATCATAACACTAGTCATGGACTTTGCCCTTGTTGTGCCAGCTGCACAAACACAGAACAGAACATATGGTCCCTGCTCCACAATCAAAGTATAAGAAATGATATAGCAGGTGGATATGGACACTGGAGAGTATAAGAAACAATGAGAGAATATTGTGCTGAATGATAGCATTGACCTCAGAACACCAGCATCCTGCCATCCACAGGTTTTTTTGTAGGCATCAAGGAGGCAAAGGAGAATTAAAACAATGGATTTGAAGGAGGATGATGAGGTAGCTTCATGAATGATTATGGGGAGCACCCACATACCCAAGTACTAATGGCAGCATAGAAGAAAAGTGGATGATGGACACCGGAAACATGGATTGACCGGAGGCAAGAGTCAACCTTTCAATAGTGGATCAGATATGGATCATGAAGGTCCTTGGAAATTCGGACAAGTGCCTTGGAAATTAGGACAAGGGGAAGACAATGGAGGGATGCAAAGAAAGAGTTTGTGTGTCTAAAGCGACATGCTACAACAGCATTCTGCGGATATGTCTACACCACAGGTAGAAGCATGTCTCCTGGCTTGGGTAGACAGAATCTCACTAGTTTCACTTGAGCTAGCACATTAAAAATAGCTGTGTTAACACTGCAGGATGTGTGGCAACTTGAACTAGACACACAAACTTGAACCCAGGAGTTTGATGGGCTTTGATTCAGGCAGCTAGCTTGAAATGCCACACATAAACTAGCACAATACAAATAGCATAAGTAGAGCTAGTATGAATATATCTACCTAGGCTGGGATATGAGTTTAGTATCCCTTAGTGGATATGAGCTGATCGAGATTACATTTGTCAATGCCAAAGAAAGGATGTCGCAGAAACTGAGACACAAATGATGGTGACTGGATAGGAGAGGCTATATCTTAGAGATGTTCTGGAAAAATACCTGGTGAAATTTAGATATAGCCTGGATGAGAGACTCTAGAGAGGGGTCTGAGTTGAGCATGACACCCAGGTTACAAACTTTAGTGAGTGACATACAGAATAGTGCTATCATCCACAGTGAGAAGAGAGGCAGCAGGCATGACTTGGAGTGTAAGAAAATTTTACTTTGAACAGACGGAGATAGGCCTGGGGTAGAGAGGTAGGTTGGTGAGTTATCCCCATACCCATGGTAGTTGAATTTGTGCTTGCAGGTGAGATCATTCAGGGGTAAAGTATACAGAGAGAAATGAAAAGAACCAAGGACAGGGCCCTGTGGAACCTGCACAGAACCAGATAAGGCTGGATGAGGAGGAGCCTTCAAAGGATGCACTAAAGGACTGATTAAAAAGATAGAAAAAAAACCAACATAGGACAGAGTCACAGAAGCCACGGGAGAAGAAGATTTAAAGAAGAATATGGTCAACAGTGTCAAAGGAGGGTCAGGATCAGTTTCCAGTGTGGTTAACAAAGAGCCAGTTTCCAAAAGACATGGAATTTTGTTGATGGACCTTGTGTCCATGGGGTAGGGAGACACCTTGTGATTTTGTCCTCCCTTTTTACTTCCCTCTGTCTGTGGCATGAGGAAGGAATGGATTTCCGTAAAGCTAATCCTAGGAGTAGACAGTGGAGATTCCCCCTTGTGTTGTAGGTTGTATGGTAAGAGCTCTGTAACTCGCACACTGGAATCACTTAAAAAGCCTGTTATACAAGAGTTTGACAGGGGGTGCCATGCCCCTCCTCTATGTTTAATAAAGTTGTGGCCTGATGTTTTAAACCAATCCCTGCATCTATCCTCACTTGCTGATGTATCTGGATCAATAACATAAAATAGAACCTAAAATCCCTCCCTGAGGTGCCTAATCATAGAATTCCCTCCAGGATTTACATCCTAGCTCCTTAGTTTCCACTCTCTTGCAAGATCCTCACTCACCTGATCCTAAGCTGGAGTAATGATCTGCACCTGCTACAATGAGATCGCTGAAATTTATCACCTTCTGGTATGGTCATCCCTTCTCCTGAAGCAACACCCAGAACACCCATCTTTGGTTTTCTCTGCCTAACTTTGAGTGATTAGTTTAAATCTTTCTTTGCCGCAGTTCCTTATCTATAAAATAATAGCACTTCTTTGCCTCACAAGGAATTTCTCAGACCAAAATTAATTCAAATGTGTGAGCTCCTTAGTTATTAAGGTAAAAGCACTGTAGGAAAGCCAATGCAATTACACAAAGCAGGGAAATATTCCATTATAAACAGTGGTCAGGAAAGTAGGGCAAGTAATACCTCAGGCAGTATGTGCTTGCATGGTGTTCAAGCATAGGTTTTGGGTGTGCACCGGGGTGGGAATGGAAATCCGGAGGATAACTGTTTGGAGCTCATAGAGAAGAAGGCTGCTGTTGTGGTTAAGGCAGTAGACTATGACTCAGATCACATCTGATCTGATTTTTTTAACAGAAGCTCTCAGTCCACTTAGTTCTTTGTGCCTCAACTCTGTATCAATAAAAAGATGAAAATATTACCTATGGTACAATGGAGGTGTCAGGACAAATTCCTTAGTGTTTGTGCACAGAAAATCCTCCAAATAAAACAAGCTTCACTTTTGAGCTTAGGCAGTCCCTAACCTGAGAGAGCCATGTGTAAATATAAAGAGGTTTGGCAAATTTTTTATTGTGTGTACTTCCAGTGCTCATTCATGTTGAAGCCTGCTGGCAGGTTCAGTTACAAACTGGATAACACAATTCCCTTGAAAATAAAAAATAACCCACTAAGTGCAGTGACAGTTGTGCTTTGTTTCTTCCTTAAAAGTGAACAAATGAACATCTTCTGCAACTCTAGATACAGAACTCGTTATGGTCCCTTATCTGAGTAGCAGAGCCCTGAGCAAATGCCAATTGTTCATAGACACTGAGCATAGTACAGTAGGCACAATAAAATCATACTATAGTGACTGATGCCTTCTATGTAATAATGAAGATCAGATTACATAAGGATAGTCTGGACTAGATTTTTAGAATGCATATTTAATGGTGTAGTTATTTGCACCTAGAATTTTGTTCCTGCAAAACAGGGAAACCTGATGAAGGTTGGAGATAAAATTTAGCCTTGTTTGTAGCTAAAAATTTTAATGAAAGAAAATTAAAGAAAATGTGTTTTAGGGCACAAGGTATTTTTTAAAAAATGTACTTACTAAGGAACACTCTTGCTGTTTTTAAATTTTAGATTCCACAACTTATGCACATTTTCTCTTTAATGCATTTGATACTGATCACAGTGGAACTGTGAGTTTTGAGGTAAGTGCTCTTATCCATTTTGAACTCTGTGTATGTACCTCTGTTGCTCACCAAGTTAGCTTTTTTAAGCAGTGGTCCAGATTTCAAATGTTTCCACGGTATTAGCAGTAGCCACTATTATTTTACAACTGCATCTTTCAGTATTGTAATTCAAACTGTGCTGCTGATGTAATGTTCATTTAAAAGGCAACCTAAATTAGATGCAAGTGACATATAACCACATATGAGCTTGCTAAATGCCTCCTGTGAGATGACAAGTGCTCTCAACTCCAATTAAAGTTAATGGGATTTGTGGGGCGGGTGGGGAAAGGATTACTCACATGCACAAGTAGTTTCTAGGAGCAGGCTTTACTTTTAGAAAATGTGGCTTCACAGCAAATGTACTTTATGACATAAGCATTTAAAATAAGCTCTTCCTCCACTTATATGCCTAGACATGATTTCAGGGTTCTGCACTTTTCCTGCCATAGTGGATGACATCATCAACAGCATGCTAAATAGCACAACTCCCTGGTGTGTTTTTTGGAGTAGTGATGTGGGTCTTCAAATATTGAACAAAAACCTTGAACTTAGGTCAGAGAATTTCAAAAGCCTTTCAATTCACCTCTAAAGAATATGTTTATTTTATTTCATGTCCGCCATGAGCAGTGGCTGTTCCCTTCACCGTTAAGTCCATGACTAGCTAAAATAAACCCACTTTTTAATTTGCCTGAAATTTCTTGTGTGTATTACTTTGTAAGGACATGTCTACATAGGGAAATTATTTCAAAATAACTAATTCTGAAATAACTCCTGAACTAACTATTTTGAAATAGCACATCCACATTACAAGGCAGAATCGAAATAGCACAGAATTGTACTGATTGGATCCTGCATTGCATTTAAAGCCCCCGGAAACACGCTAGAGAGGGCACCAGGAGAGAGGACACTTCCTGTAACTGATTGCTGAGGCTAGCTGAGACACGTGCTTAAAGGGGCTTCTCTCTTTGGTCGCATCTCACACTGCTCTACTTCACTGCCTACCCTCTTGTGGGACATCAAACTCATGCTGTGTGCTCTAGTTGCCCTTGTGGACACCACAGCACTGACTACATGGAGCCGGAGCTGCTGCACAGCAGTGCCAGGCTCACAGGTCTTGTGCTGCACCCATGGCGCAATTGTTCCACACTGCCCATGTGCTGATTCAGGGCCATGACAAACAGCCTGGACGGGGGGAAGGGGAGAGAATTTCTTCACCCAGGCCGTGGTGCTCCTGATGCAGAAAATGGTCCTCCATTCGCTGCACACCGTGGAATGCCACTTCTGGTGGAGGGAGACCAGTTCCAATGGGTGAGACCTCATCATCCTGCAGTCATGGGATGATGTGGCTCCAGGACTTTTGCATGTGGAAAGCCACCTTCCTAGAGCTCTGTGAATGGCTCCCCCCTTCTCTCAGATGACAGGACACCCAGATCAGACCCGCCATCCCCCTCCAGAAGTGTATCGCCATTGCCCTCTGGAAACTTGCCACGCCTGACAGCTACCAATCTGTGGGGAACCAATTTGGTGTGGGGAAATCCACAGTTGGGGCTGTGCTTATACAGGTAGTAAAGGCCATCAACACTATCCTGCTATGGAGGGTCATCACCCCTAGGGAACATCAACCGCATTGTCGCTGGCTTTGTCACCGCTTATCCCAATTGCGGGGGCAGAAACAGCCCACATCCAAATCCTGGCATCCAACCACTGTGCATCAGGGCTTATCAACAAAAAGGGATACTTCTTCATGGTGTTGCAGGCCATAATGGACCACAGGGGATGGTTCATGGACATTTATGTTGGGTGGTCAGAGAAGGTCCATGATGCGCACATATTCTGGAGCTCAAGCCAATTCCAGAAGATGAATGCTGGCACTTTTTTCCCCAATTGTGCCATCAGGACTGGGGACATGGACATGCCTATGTGCATCCTGGTCAACACAGCTTACCCCTTGATTCCCTGGCTCATGAAGCCCTACATGGACAGCCTGGATCTCACTGAAGAACAGTTCTGTGCCAGGTTCAGGTGCCACATGGTGGTTGAGTGTTCCTTCCACCACTTGAAGGGGAGGTTCAGGAGTTTCATCACCCACCTGGACCTCAGCACTTGAGACATCCCCTATATGATGGCAGCCTGCTGTGTGCTCCACAACATTTGAGAGCAAGGGGAAGACTTTTCTGCCAGGGTGGGGGGCAGAGGCTGAGCACCACTGCCATACAGAGAGCACATCAGGGGCTGTGCTCATCCAGGAGGGCCCAAGGGACAGTTTCAGCCAAGGCCACCAGTGAGGGATGAGGCTTGGACTGGCGTCTGCCTCAGGAAACTCGGAAGGCTTCAGCTGCCCAGGAAGTCTCAGCACCACGTATTTGGAGGCCTCAGCAGGTTTTGAAAGCAAAAATAGTCTGGCCACAGGTTTTTTGGGAAAAAACCCTTTTTTGAAAAAAAGCCCACATAAATCTCATTTTTTAAGGAAGAGCGCTTTTTTTTAAAAAGGGTTTTTTTCCCCAAAAAAGTGTCCAGACTACTTTCACTTTTGAAAGCTCTGCTTTCAAAAGTGAGATCGGATGAAGATATGCATATTCCTGTGGAATTTTCATATTCTCTTTTGAAAACACAGTATAATCTAGACATAGCTAACACTATTTTGAAATATGACATGACAAGCAGGTGTTATACTTTCAAAATAACCAAACAGTTATCTTGAAATAATGTGCTTGGTAGTGTGGATGCTCTACTTATTATTTAGAAATAAGGGGAGTTATTTGAAATAACTCACTAGTGCAGACCAGGGCTCAAATTTTGGCAATGATGTATGATTACACAGGACACTTCTACAGGTATTTGCACTATTATATTATTGCATATTTATAATCAGCAGGTTCCCTTGTCCAGCTAGGTGTTCTGTGACTACAGCATATAAAACTTAATTCATTAGGGATTTACTATATTTAAAAAGAAAACAGCGACAAGATTTTGTTTAGGCTTTAGGTTTATTTGAAAATGCATGAGCCCTTATTCTGCATCTGGATCCATAAGGTGATGTCTGCCAACTGATGACAAGCTAGTGCTGTGCAAATAGGAGAACGAGGGCCTTAATCTATATATTTGATACATGGACTAATGAGTTGCTCCTCCTTTCTCCTCAAACTGATAACAGAAGAGGTTTTAGTAATGCATAGTCAGTTGCTTGACCACATGTTTGTTATGTAATATACTCAAGAGCCCAAATAAACTAGAAGCTTCAGCCAAGTTAGTTTGTACATTATAATCTTAAAAAACAACAAAAGGTCTGGTACCACTTTTTTGACTAACAAAACATATAGATGGTATTATGAGCTTTCGTGGGTACAGCCCACTTCTTCAGATGACTGGAGATATAACGAAAGCTCATAATACCATCTATATGTTTTGTTAGTCTATAAAGTGCTACCAGACCAAATAAACCAGGTCAGCCAGTTTAATTGCTATAAGCCAATGATAATACAGTAAAAGAAACAGGTTCTATATGATAAGAGTCTATGGGAAACTTTCTCATGTAACGTTTACATTTATATAATAAAAGTGATAATCCACAAATTACACTCCCAAAGCCATACATTAATACCCTACCTGTCCACATGTAAAAAACAATACTATGTACATTATATGAAACGAGATTTAACCAATAAGCTTTCCAGCTTGTTTTTCTGATACTATGGTGTGTTGCCTATCTCGAAACACATTATTTCAGGTACCAAAGGACAAGACATTACCTCCTAGCTTTGTACTAGGGTATAACAATCAGATGTCTTGGCCTCATCCTTTGGGACTTTCCTGTACAGGCTTGTGAGTGTAACTACGTTTCTGTTGCTGTGGTAAAGCATTCATCTGTCTTGATCTTGATAGTTTACCTATTTGCTCAAGTCAAAACTAACTTCAGTGAATGCAAGGAAATAATATTAAAATGGCCATGTTGGGTTAGACCAATGGCCCATCTAGCCTAATATCTTGTCTTCCAACAGTGGCCAGTGCCAGGTGCTTCAGAGGGAATGAACAGAACTGGGATGCTACTAAGTGATCTATCTCTCATTCAGTCCCAGTTTCTGGCATCAGAAGTGTAGAGACACGTAGGACAGGGGGTTACATCCTTGACTGTCTTGGATAAAATCCACTGATGGAACTATCCCCCGGGAACTTATGTAATTCATTTTTTTAACACACCTGTACTTTTGGTTTTCACAACATCCCTTGGCAACAAGTTCCACAGGTTGACTATGTGCTGGGTTATGCAAAGCTTAGCCCAAGTGATCAGAGATATATAAAAATATCATTGGCCAGTTTAGGCAATGTAAGTGCTATAAAATTTGTGCTTAAGGTATACTAATGTTCAGTGTTCCCTCTAAGATTTTCCACCCATGAGTGAAGTGAGTTTTGTTTTGTGTACCAGTATTGAGGTCAGGTGTGCTTGTTCAGATGTGTGCCACTGTGGCACCCAAGTTATTAATAAATATCTTATAAACCACTCCCCTTTCCCTCTGTGCCCTGTCTCCTACCCTTCCCTCACCCCATTTGCTCCAGTGGTGCTTGCTGCTGCCTCCCCCCCCACCGCTCACCTTCCTCTGCTGTCCTGACTCTTGCCCTTCGCACTCCCCTCAGCCCTCCCAGGACCTGCCCCCTTCCCCTGCACCAGCCCTTCCCTTCCCCCTGTGCCCACTCCTCCTCTAGACCCACTCTGATCATCTGTAGATACCTCTCCCTATAACTTCTCCTAACACCTCCTTCTACCCACCTGCCTGCCCTTTCTCTGTTCTCTGGTGCCCATCCCTCCTCTCCACGTGTCTGCCCTTCTGCTTCATCCCCACAGTCCCCTGGCACCTGCACCTTCCTGGTGCCTCCCCTTCCCTCGCTCCCCTCCCCACCCCTCCTTGCCTTCTTTCTCCATGGTGCTCACCCCCTCATCACCCACTGCCCCAGTTCTCCTCATGCTCCTCTGTGCCCTCACA